ACACATTATAAAGTAATTACCATACGTTTAATATGTTCATTATATTGATTTTATTTTACTCCTTCCATTCCAAATTGAATGTCATTACACTTATTCCCCCATACTTCTTCTTCTCCTACCCCATACTTCATGTTGAAGTTTATTTATTACCTTCGAGCTCAAAGCCAAAAATAAATTCTTCCATTCAAAGGACGATAAATAATTACGCATGCACATACGTTATAAAGAAGCATACCTGAGTTTTCGTCACATGTAAATATTTGAAAACATATTTTCTTTATTATTCAATGTTATGACTTTTATTTTAAAAATAACTACAAAATCGAAAGGTGAGAAATTATCGTTAATTATTACGTCAAATAGCATACCAAGGCTATCTATTTCAATTCCATATATTTAAAAATTACAATGAAGTAAGAATGTATAAAAATCACAAAGCTTTGAGTAAGATATAAGTAAGAATAATTCATATATACTCCAAAATATACTTTGACTTTAAGAAGAGAGCCTATAACGACGGCTCTCGTCTATAGTGTGTGCAATATATGTCTCGCTTGCGTTCACAACTATGGCAAGAACAAGTAAAGAAGAGACTTAATGTCTTGGACCATACTCACAAACGATTAGATTAAGATGGAAGAGCAAATGCTGATATAACTTTCACATCTCCTAAAGTAAGGACTTAGAATATTCCTAATGCCAGGCATATCTGTCGCACACAGCGAATAAAATCCATACCATACTGACAATTCATTATATTAAGATGAGAGAACGCATGCGGGTATATATGTCAGTACTTGCACCACCACGAGAAAGGGTTTAGAATATTTCCGATGCAAGTCATGCTTGTCGTACGAAGTGACTGAAATCCATTCAATACTGACAATCAATTAGATCAAGATGAGTACGCGCCTGCAAATTCAATTGCTCAAATTTCACTTCCAGAGAATATTGCCGAATGAAGGTATATCTGCCAACGAAGATATTAAAATCAAGTTGACATCACTCGAAACAGTTTGGAGTTCAAATTGTAGTGAGTGAGTTTTACTTACGGCAACCGAACAGAATGGTAAAGCTGATACCATGGGGTCAGGACCCATAGCTTTGGGTGATGTGATCCATTGAAATTGCCTACTTTCATAAGAGTATGGTGAAGGAGGCATTGGGTACATTGAGTGTGGTGGCTGTGGTTGAAATCTATGTGGGTAGAATCATTCTATTCATAAATTTTATTCGGTGTTGAATTGCATTTCACAACCTAATGTTGCGTCCTAAAGAATAGGAAAGAATTTAGAAGAGTCATGAGATGATGAATTCAATTGTTAGAGATGGAATTCGTTGGAATTCCAATGGAGGGTTTATTGTCGCATTATACTGAGTACTATTTATTATTATACTGCATTATACAGTTAATGCCTACTACAACAAAGAGTTTGTCGGGTTATAATCTCAATCAAGTAAATTGATCGTACAGCATTTTCGTTTATCGCCAAATATCGTCCAACAATATATTTCTGATGTTATACGAAACAGCTGACACAAAAAACAAAATTTACTTCATTTATAACTTAATTTAATAATAATAAGTAATTTAATAAGTAATTTCATTAATTTTACAATTTTGGTTTAAAAATATTATAAATTTTTGTTGGTTTTATTCATTATGTTGTCGTTAAAAAATTTTATTCAATTTAGTTTTAGGTAATTTTTCAAATTTAATTAACCAAAGTTAATTTAAGTTGGTTAAACTAATTTAACAGAACTTTTCCATGTTTCGTTATTTTAATTAGTTCTCATTTATTTGATATTGTTTATAAGTTTTTTTGTTTTTTATTTTTAGACTGCACTTAATTATCTACAGTTTTTTAAAACAATTTGCCCTACTTGAGAACTTTACTTCATTAATATAATTTTAATGAATATGATTTACTTAGTATTCTTTCATTTTGTTAGTAAAACTTTTTGTAAAAATAACTTCTTTCTATTTTAAAATAAGAAACCTTGTTTTTTTTTTTTGATTTGTAGTTTATAAGCCAATAAATGAGAAAAGGTGCATATTATTTTTGGTGCTGAGTACAGGTAATTTGAAGGATAGTTTAAGATATTCACTATTTTACGAATCATTGGAAAATACTATTTGATAACCATAAGGGAATTTATAACCTTATTATATATTTAGTTATAAATTTTCACGTTTAAATTTTGCTGCAAAAAATTTTATATGTAATATAATAAAACAATTAATTAAAGCTAATTTATTACAATATCATATTGAGGGAGTGTAATAAACATAAAAAATGGAAGATATTTTTTTTTGATAAACGGAAATTTAATTCATGTGAATCGGCATCTAAGCAACAGAAATAGCATCTTTCTTTTGTATTTAATTAAACTTTTTTACACAAAAAAATAATCGGCTTTGTCAAAGTTCATATGTAAAGAACTTTGAGTTTTTTTTTTGTTTTTGTAAAAGAATTTAAGGATACATACGCACAATTAATGTACAGAAACAAATAATCTCTTTAGGTTCATACATCAGAACAAACAAAATATTTTTGATATGAAGCGAAAATGAATTTGTTTTGGCTTTGTTGGATATAAGATACTCTACTTTCAGAATATATGAAAATTAACATAAACAATTTTTATGAACTAACTGTATTTCTATATAATTGTATGTAATTTTATGTAATTGTGAACTAATCAGAGGTATTGCAATGTCCCACATTGGTCAGTTCCTGTCTTGATTTTTTAAGTTAATAGCTCTCTACACAATGTTTTGTTCAAATTTAAGTTCATATATAGACTTCATTACGATTTTTTTATTTTAAACCCAAAAATAGAGATGTTGATAAAGGAAAATAATTTTTGGAGCTTTATATTTGAAATTTTCGTTAGGTTCTTCAGGAATCCGATGAAGTAAATACTACACATTTTAGGAAAATGTAAAAGTTTTCTCGATAAATTAACAAAACTTATCATTAACACTAACCTACTTCCACCTATCTTTAACTCCGTTACAAACTTGTCAGCAAACTTAATATATGTTATATATTACTGAATGAATGTAGGGTATCAAAATTATGCTTTACATTTACAGAAGATTAAAAATATTTAATTAACATATGTGGTTATTTTCGTCAAAGAATAATTTTAAAATGTACCATATCAGCTATATTGTTGCTATGATATTTGTTCTACTCCTTGAGGTTCGAAAATAAAAAAAATACTCATACGCCACCGAAGCAAATATTGAAAACGTCGATTTGAAGTCGTTTGATGCAGAAATTATTCATTACTTTATAATTAATTTTAATAGCATAACGTTTCATAGCACAGACTTCAGTAATGCGAATAACAGATTTAATATTATTATTTTGAATTTAGAATTAAAAAAAAATTTTAAAATATAAATACATACTTATTTTCTAATAAATTCACAGAATTTTATATACATATGAATTTTTTTTTTAATATAAATGTGTTATTATAATTAATCAAATGTAATATTTTAGATATTCTTTGTCATTCAATTAAATTTGTTAAAATAGAAGTACGTTTCTAATTTTACATACATTTTAAATAAATTCATGGAATTTTGTATATACATTTTTTTGTTATACAAATGTTTCATTATATTTTATGTAAAATAATGCTTTGAATGTTTACTGTTATTAGTAAAAATTTTAAATATTAAAATTTTAATATATAAATAATTCGATTAAAGTAATAAATTATACTCAATACTATTAATATTACATTTTCAAGTAGAGAAGACAGTTTAAAAATATGTTGATATAAAAAGTTTATTCAAAAGTTGTAAAAATTAAACTCCTATAACAAACATTTTTCTAGTTTTGTAAATAAAATGCTTAACACTATGTTAAGTTTTGTAAAAAACCAATTTATGAAAACATTTATTTTTAAAAACAAAAAACTTTGTTTTGATTAAAAAGTTGGTTAGTGCTGATTCCAATATTAATCAAAAATTATAAAAACGACTTCAGATCTAACGTAAAAACTATAATTAATTATTTTAGAAATAAATATTTTTGATTATAGAAAAATTATTAGTTTTCTATTATCTTATACAGTTGTAAATATAATATTTTATAACTAAACGAGTTTAACTTTGTTTAAAATGAATTTTTTATAAAATTTTAAATTAAGTGTAATTAAATTTTTATTTTAATAAATATAAAAAAAATTAAAAACTTTCTAGACGAAAGTTAAAATTAAAAATTTTTTTTTATATTTTATTGCATTATTTAATATATTTTAATGTTGTTTGAAAGCCATATGTGTAAAAAAATACAATTTATTTTTTAGATATATTTTTTTTTTTTTTGATTACAAAATAAAATTTGTTTGTATATAGATATGTTATATATCTTTTAACCAAAATTATTTCACAAAAATCATAAATTTACAAAATTTTATTGAGGGAATTATTTTCGTTCTGAACGATAAACCTTAAATTGCTTAACAGCTTTTCATTTCTATACACAAATATTACCCGGAAATGCTTTTTAGAAGTATGTGCTCTTCGCACTTGGGTGAAGTTCCTCGTTTATTCGTCAAGAAACAATGTATATCAAAAAAATGCAAAGGAAAGAAATTGAAATAAATTTACCATAAAAAACCCTTTTCACTAAATTGTTATTTAATGTATAAAATTGATTTTTCTGTATCGTTACGATTTCACATTTAAAAAGAAGAAAGATTCTTTAAAGATCTTACATTTATTTATAAATAAATTTCTTTTTTTCTATTTATTTTTAGACGAAAGTTAACAACTTCAGTCAAGGAACCCACATGCTGAGTACATAAACCAAAGAATCTTATGTGGAAATAGGCAACAAGCTAAAGGAACACCACAATACGAACTTGCAAACAAGGACAATAATAATAATAAGAAGAAAAAGAACAACAACAACAACAACAACAATGAAAATAACAACAAAACAATAACAACAATAACAAAAATAATAAATAAACAAACGAGAAGAGAGGCGCCAAACATAATAACAAAAGCAATCTGTACAATATGAAAAATACTTAAAGCAAAATAACGTCAAGCATCAAATCTATAGACAATATTAACCTAACAGCTCACACACTCAACAAGCCATCAAACCATCAAGGCATCAAACCTGCAAACAGTCAAACCACCAACTAACTTATCCCACCATATACGCGTGTGCTGTGGGTATCTTTTAGTGCTGCATGTGGGAAAGTTAACCACCAGCACAGCCCAGCGGCGTAAAACAACATTTAGACGAGTTGAAAAAATAATAAAATGAAAACATTTTAAAGTCAGGCGAGTGGAAATATAAAATATTTTATAAATAAAGAAAAACATTTGCAAACTGTGACTGATGTTAAGTAATGTATAACAATAACAATAAGAGAACAACAACAACAAGAAAAACAGTAACAACAATAACAGCAAAAGCAAATCAACAATAACGAATCAAGAATAACAGCAATAAAATTGCTACAACTAAGCTACTGCCAAGTGCATAAACAACGAAAGCCAACAACACTCACAACAACAACAATAACAACAACAACAACAAAATAAAAACAATAACAAAAGTTGAGAATAAATAAACTTGTATAAGGCAAGAAACTGTTGTGCGTTAGCTTAGCATCAACTAACGAGATTTACGTGCTAGTACTCTGTACTCCATACACCGCACTCTGTGTTTAATACCCTACAGGCGAAAAAAAAACAATATATATTTAACAAGACAATTTCTTTTTATTTGCGCAACAACAACACATGCTGACGACAACCACAATAATAAAAAATAAGCACAACATCAAGTGAAAAATGTTTTTTTGAAAAAGAAAGACGACAATATATGCAAGAAAAACATTAGTTTCATTTCCATCAAAAGTACAGAGAGACGGGAGTATTATCGCCCCAACGCAACCACTTGCTTATACGAATTCAATACGAATTTAAGCTACAGTTAGAAAAAGCCATCAAATACATACACACACACACACACACACACATGAAAAAAAACCCATACCTCCAGTGTAATTGCTGTAGCAGCATAAACAATTGCCTTGAGAAATTCAGTTTTTTACTGTATAAAATTTGTATACATTTGTTTTTGTGTGTACACTCGTAAACACATACATCAGCAAATAGCAAATATTTTTCAGTACTTAACACTGTGCTGCTTTCACAAGATCAGATCAAACGACAAAGACATGATTGTGCAGTTGCAGTTGGCGTGGACGTCGCTGCCATTGGCAGATAAAATACGTGTTCTGGCGTTTGTATGCGTGTGAAGTTATTTACATTATTTTTTGTATTAGTTGAGTTGTGGTAACACTGGAGACTCCCAGACAAATTAACAACGTGACAGCAAATAAAGTGAAGTAAAAAGCTGCAAGTACACATTTCAACACACGCAACAACAACAATAGCATTAACTAACTAACAACAGCAGCATCAATATTGTGCGCAATTTTTCTATGTTGTCTGTGTTATCAAAAGCGTGTGCTTTAAATCCACAAAGGACATATAAACAGCGAAAATACACAGCTGCAGTGAGACAACTAACAGTGACAGGAACAGCGCAACAACGCATATGTGCTTAAGTACATTAACATTTATATATAGTGTAGTCAACAGTAGACGTTGTACTAGCGAAGTATACGTTGAGGCATAAAACATGAAAATTTCTAGTTGTACACATCACCAACACAAACGACAAGCAGCACAAAAGCAACAGCAACAGCAACAGGAAGAGCAAGAGGAGAAAACGCAACGAAACAGCATACTACAACGAAATCAAAAAGTAGAACATAAGCAAGAAAAACGTTGTAACGCCACTGTCGTGATAATTAAGACAGCGCGAAGCACTCAAACAATAACAACAGCAACACATAGCTTACGTAGTTTTCGTAGTCGTAAGTTAACATACCTGTTGTGTCATATGCTGCTGCTGCTGTTAAGCCTGATTGAGCCAACGCATGGTGACTGGCTAATGGACTGTGGCGACTGTCATTGCAAATGGAATTCAGGGAAAAAAACAGCTGATTGCAAGAATCTAAGTCTCTCCTCAGTGCCAGAGAATCTCAACACTGAAGTGCAAGTGTTGGATCTTTCATTTAATCGCATACCATTTCTAGAGGAGAATGCCTTTATGAATGCGCAACTCCTCAACCTACATAAACTGTACATACGTAACAGTTCGCTACAACAGATCGATCCACGCACATTTACGCAACTCGAAATTCTCATCGAATTGGATGTGTCCAATAATCTCTTGCGCAGTCTACAAGCGAATCTCTTCGCTCGGCTGGTTAAAGTGCGTGCATTAGTATTAAATGGCAATCTACTGGAATCCTTAAGCGATGGCATTTTTCAAAATCTGAAATATTTGCATAAGATTGAACTCAAGGATAATCGTTTGACACGTATTAGCACACAAGTATTTATCAACGTGCCACTGTTATCGCAGATTTATCTCAACGGAAATCGATTGAGCTTTTTGCGCAAAGAAAGTTTTGAATCTGTGAAGCGCTTAACTGCACTCTCATTAGACCAGAATCCTTGGAACTGTACATGTGAACTGCAGATTTTTCGTGACTTTGTTTTAAAACGTAATCTCTACACACCACCAACGGCATGTTATTTTCCCGTGCACTTACGTGGCATGTTGTGGGTGGAGGATCAACCGGAAGCGTTTGCCTGTAAACCCAAAATCATATATCCAGCACGCGGTGCTTCCATCAATACGTCAAAAGAAAATGTTACATTGGTTTGCCGAGTGCATGCTTCACCTAACACACACATATCCTGGGATTATAACAAACAAATGTATCGCTCCAATGCAGTGAACAGTGCACAACAACAACGCGTACACATCCAACTGCTACGCGATGAACAGTCCAAAGAGAAGGAGTTCGGACGTGATGTGTTTATTTCACGTTTAACTATTATTGGAGCCGATAAAAACGATGAGGGTATCTACACATGTTTAGCAGAGAACGCTGGTGGCAAAGATGTAGTGCAAATGAATTTGCTGATACAAAAGCCAGGGTCAAAGGACTTGTTATTGCAGGGAAACTTAGTTATTGTGATTTGCTTAATGGCTTTGGGATTGCTTAGTGTGTCGGTGCTGCTCGCATTGATTACTTGTTGCATTTACAAGCGTTTCAAGCATATTAACTCCGCGCATCGACATCATCATCATCATCATTTGGATGTTGCCGATCAATTAACAACTGGCCTCGAACATACCACCACGACTGTAACGGGCGGCACTGATGTTGTGCTTGGAGTGAGTGTTGATGAGACATCAACGGGCAATTTCAAGCACCATTTGCAAAAAACAAATCTGAATGGTGGCACTGGCGGAATGGACAAATACAGTGAAATGATTAAGCATGGTGTTTCTGTGATGGACAATGGTTTTGTTAATGTTGGTGCTGATGGCGTTGAGCACCATAAACTGCTGCTGAACGATGCGAAAACAGGGCATGCGGAAAAGGCGTATTTGGAGCGAAGTACTAAAGGTGAGTTTTTATGTTATTAAATAAAATTACATTTTTACTTTCTTTTTTTATTGTGTGGATAGATGTTGGTTACTTTTCATTTCATCATTGCTCCATTTCATATGGCAATTGTTCCACATAGTCTTTGTTTTTAATTTTGTTGCTTTTATTATTGTGGTTTGTTTTGCTTATTTTCTGGTTTATAACTTGACCATGTGCCTCACAAGCACCACTCCGACCATTTTCATTCTGGAGTGATAAATATGGTAATTAATTCTCGTTGCAAATGGCGAAATAAAAATGATTTTGTTGCTTTTTTCCACTTGGTTATTTGTAACAAGAGTGACATAAAAAAGGAACACAAGCTTAGTCACAATTTATCACCAGCGTAATTATTTCATTAATCACTGATGCTATGCTGGATCCCCAGAAATTAGCAAGAATATTGAGCTTTGTAGAAATTTCTACTGCTCAACAAATATTTGTGTTTCATTCTTGGAAAACTAGAGATTTACATAGGAATAAATTCTTTTGCTTTTCATTTATACATAAAAGAATGTTTTTAAGTTTAATTGTGCCATATCACTTTTAAGCAAATATCTAGATTTTGTTTAGGACTTTTATACATCAAACTTCGTACTCTATTTGGGTTGTAGCATATTCCGTTTGTATAAAATAATACACTTTAAAAAGTTAAATTTATTGTAATTTTTCTATTCTGAGATAGAAAATTTAGAGAATATTTCATTACATTTTAATAAAATTAATTTATTATGGTATTGAAATATTATCCATATACATATATATCAGTTGACAATAAACTGAATAAAAATTTACTGATGACCCTCTGGTAATTATTATATATTATTGGAGCAAATAAGGAGTATTTATCCTTTCCTAATTAAATAGCTAAATGTATCAGTATCAAATGTGGAATGCTCACCTTTTCTTGAGCAAATGACTAAATGGATGAGAAGCCAAAAATAAAGACAGTTTACTCTTTCTTGAGGAAATGGCTAAATTTATCAGAAGCAAATATGGAGTGCTTATCTCTTCTTATTTTATCTGCAGTGAGGTTCAAGAGATGCATTAATCCTTTTTATACTAACTCAGCCAGATCACTTAAGAAACAGTCTCTTAGATATTTATCCCGCTTTGTTTGTAGTGACGGGCAAAAAAATTAAAAGTTATTATTACATTATATTACCTCTTTATTAAACTCTTACACAGTTCACTTACTAAAGTGGGACAACTTTGAAGAATTGATAGATTCTACTTTCTCTCCATCATGGTTATCGTTGCAAAGTCTGCGTGTTAAAATGCGCTAAATTTGAATAATTTATAAATTCTACTTGTGGAAACTCGCCAAACTTAATTTCTATACAGAACGTTTGTTGAGGGGCTTTAACTATGCACTATTGGTGCAATACCATGGTTGACGTACGCACACAAATTAGAAAGTATGCTTTGTTTTTCTTTTATTTAATCTGAACCATAGCAACCTTACGGTCGAGTCTATTATCACCCTTACTGATCCTGAAGTCTAGTTTGTTGGTTTATTTTAGTGAAGGCAGAGCTTCCACTTCTATCCCAGTAGCACAAAAACAAAATTTGTTGCAACAAATTCGGCTTCTAGATCTACTTTAACTTAACATACTATTATCTATTCTTTAATATAAGTCAAAAATTTTGTTGTTTTGTGCATATGTAAATCACAATATTTTTTCCTGCTTTATAATATATGAGGAAATTTAAGTTCATTCAAATTTATTTATTCAAAAAATTTTCTTGCAAATTTTACATACTCCTGTCTTCTCTGCAGTTTATAAAACATTATTAGAAGTAGCATTTTTTTATTTTGTACTATACAAGTGGTCACACTGTAGTTAAATGAAGATAATGAATGTAATAGAGCGAAATTTCATAACAGTTCAACGGAAGCTATTTCACCTTTTTTTAGATGTATTTCATTTGAATCTAAACTTAATTTGTACTAAAATTACTATGAATACATTAGTCATCCTCACTTAAGGAAACTTCAAATCTTTTCTACATTAAAAATTCTTTCAATTGAAGTCGATTAGTTATGCAAGTTTATTCTCTTAGCATACTTTCACGTACCTATATATACTGTTATCTCATTTAGTTAAACTGAGATTCCAGTCGAAGTGAATAATTGAAAATTAGAATAAATAATCTCGACGAAATGTTGATTACCCACATTTCCAGGCGCCGTAAGATATTACAACTACAAAACATTAGAGGCAATTTCGTACAGATTTTGCAAATTTTGCTATCATAAATTCACATGCATATTTCAGAGATTCGCTCGTACACATTTTATTAGAGCCTGCAAGTTACTTCAAGATACACGATAACAATGAAAATATTCTATGTACTGAATATATGGGAGTGCAAAGTATCTCAACTCCCCCACGTTTTGTTTTTTTCTGTAGATAAATCAAAAATTTAATGAGCTATAAAAATAGCAATTTCAACAACAAAAACGAAAGCCATGGAAAGTGCATATCATATAAACAAAGCTGAAGTACAAGAGATATGGGAGTACCAGTCATATACCAGTCGTACGTAAATAGCGAACCTATGGATTTTTGATTTTACATATAGAAGAATTGTTGAATTATTTTTACTACGTGGTTAATATACGAGTATGCGCTAAGGATTGCTAGGTTTTTCTATTTTATATATGAAAAATGAAAATATACAACCGAAGAGCAAGTAAATAAAAATTATTGTAAAGCCAATTTTTGTGCAAATGTACTCAATAAATTATGCAAAAATATGGCAACGCTGACTTTTTAGCCAGAAACAAAGGCAGGCCGCTGTTCTACATTGTATGAGTGTAAAGCATCGGAGATAAAAATTTTATAAGCCAACAAAATGTTATTGCCAAAATGAAGTCAGCCAAAATTAGGCTTTCATGTTTCGATGTAGCAAATTTTGTTTCGCAGAAATAAAAAATATAAAAGCGAATTCAATGCATGCATTTCGAATGAAATTTACAATGAATTTAAAATGCCTTAAATGAAATTCCTTGCTCTCTACAAGTACTTTGAAGTATCAATTATGGGCTAGCAAAAAGTCAATTATTACTTTGGATTAATGATTGTGTAGTACTGAGTGGCAGGATGTGGCAGCCACATTATGGTTGCTATGCAAATATTTAAGTATATAAATAATTTATTATTTATCAGTCGAAAAGAATTTTGGTAATATAAATGATTGTAGAAAATGGCATAAATTTAATTTTCAATGAGAATTTATTATGTGCTTTTGAAGAGCTCTTAAAATATGAGCATTAAATTTAAAGGAATAAAATAATTTTAATATAAAACTCATTTTATCATAATAAATAGTTATTAAGTCTAATTGAAATATTTAGACAAATAATAAAGTAATTTAAGCTCAATAAATTATTTTCATTTGTTATTTTGTAATAAATATATAGTAAGTTAATGAAAAGTTATTATTTATAAATAATTAAAATACTTTTAATAGAGTAAAACTTATTTAATAGCAAGCAACATTTATTGAGACATATTTAGGAGGGGATTTTTTAAAAAGAGTATAAAAGTCTAAATTTTTATCTATTGTTTTGTTAAGTGGTTTTAAAGTAATGAATAAAAAAGTCATAAGAAGAAAATTAATTAAGAGAAAACTATTATATTTAGCATGAAATAGACCTGCGGTAAAGGGAATTCCTGAGATAAGGCATGCTTGACGTAAGATGCGACTTTACTCCAGCTGCGACTTTACTTAGATAGACCCAGTATCAGATACTGATCAGTAAGATCAAAATATTTGTTATTAAAAAAAAAAATTGAAGAAACAGAAAAAGTTAAAAAATTTGTATATTGGATGCTTAAGAAACAGAAAAAATCGTCTAGTATGTGAAATACACCGTTCATATGACACGTTGCAATACCCACTGATGTTTTAGCAAGAAGATGATGGATATCACTTTAATATAAAAATGATAAACCCATTGAAAGGTGGGTATCAACATCATAGTTTTCAATTCAGAATACAAACGTGAGTCTTACTTCTAAGATACTAATTTTACTGTTTTTAAATCAAGTGAGGAAACTACCAAGAAAATTAGTTCGTGTAATTCAAAATGGAAAGAAATTGTTCAAATGCTGCTTCCTGGACAGACATCAAGTGATCGGCACGACATCACTGCACGGGTATTCAAGCACAAAATTCGATCGCTGATGAATCTAAAATTTAATATAACATTCATTGACTGTTACGCGGTACGAAGTTCGCGGGGTCACCTAGTTTGAAATAGAATAATGTGAGATAATTTAATAATAAAGAATTTACTGGACTTACAACAGGTACCAAAAACTTATAACTAAAAACGATGTTACCCCGCTTTACTACTGATTCCAGTGTGGGTCTTTAACCGCAAGACTATCCTTCATTAAATGTGTATTAATTCTTTATATAAAATAACTGAAAACGATTCATCATATATCAACGATTCAGTGGGTCACTTAACAAATATCTACTTCTTTGATTTCTTAATTATTTTTTGATATTAAAGTATATCTTAATATAATGAAAATTCCTGTGTATATTTTATACGTATTGTAAAATTTGCTTAATCGACAATTAAGAAAACTAATGAACCTGTAACTGAAGCAATAAAATTTTAATGACAAGTAATAATGACACCTATTGAATGACTAGAAATATTATTGGTGATTGAATGTTTTATTATTCATGAATAGATTAATTTTTTGATAATTGAAAGTGTTGAGTGCTTTTATGACAAACAAGAGTTTAAATGAATTTAATATTCAAAAAACAATAATTCTCCTTAATTCTAGAGCTTTTATGAGTTAGGATAATATCAAGAATAAGTAATTAATTCAATTGCAGCAAGTAGAAGTAAAAGGGGACTCTATATTTTAATGGGTTCGCCAGAGCATATAAGAAACAATGTGTATTGATAAGTTAATTTATGTTTCTTTTTGACAGCAATATTCCTGACAATGCAATGTTCCTGACAATATAGGCAATCCAAGCTCTAAACTTATTATACGAATAATTTAATCAACAAATACTTCCAAAGATCAATAGAAGTCCAAAATTGCAGTTTGGACGATCAAAAATTCTGTTAATTAAAAATAAATTCTTTTAGTTTCAAAATATTTTCACCACGTATATCTTCTCTCTTTAAAAACTATTTATTATTTGCTTAGTCACCAAATTAGAAAAATTTCATTTGTACAGCATTTGAATATTATTTTAGTAAGTACAAGTCTATATCCACATTGGATATGCTTTCTTGAAGTAACATTTTAACTAGATTAAACGGAGATCCATTAGCCATCAACACACGTTGTAATATACATTGAGGTTCACAAAAAGCTGCGAACTAAATAATCGAAAATTTTGCGAATGTTGACAGGCTTACCGTAGTTCTATAAAATGTCAAACCATTATAGAGATTTGGTGAACACATATTTTTTCTGTTGAGTTTTTTGTTTTTAAAGAGATATTTACTCTAATTCAGAGCTTGAGTATAGATTGCCTCATTTGTTTCGATATCGTTTTTTTCCAAATTACCACTTGATCTAATGTTAGATTCAGGTATGATATTTGATCACTTCACTTCTGGCATTATTAACTTTTAACACTTTTTGATTTTAATAATCATTGAGTATAATTATACATTTCTAAAAGTAATTGACCAAATCATTAATAGGCACTATTGCAGAGAGTTAGAAATTTAAGATACGTCTACTTCAGAATGCTGGATACGTATATTATCAGCGAACAAAGGTTACAAATTGGTTTTCATTTTTGACATGTATGTACATGTATGTCCGATAATATTTATTCTTTTTACAACACACTGGATAAAATAAAAATCCTTCAGTTTTACGGGTTTGAATTACTTATTATTAGGTTGTTCCCTTTGTAGAGGAATTTTTTACTTGCTATGTGTAAAGTGGCTTTTTTGTGTGTAATTTTACAAATTATAAAACTTAATAAAATTTCATATATTTCCTAAGATTACTGATGATGAGTACTTGTCAACACTCGATACAGCGTTGTACCTATGACCAGCCAAATTTCAATAAATTAATCAAATTTTTGTTGTTGTATCTTCATTACTATCTAATAATTTTCTTTTGTCATAACATATTCGACAAAAAGAAATCAACGTTACTTATTATTAGTTTTTATATATATAAATTAAATTTATATATAAAATTTAGTAAAAAAAAATATTTCAAAAAGTTATGATAAACTGAAGCTCTGGGATACAGTATTTGAGATGATTCGATTGCAA